ATAGCAAGAGAGCTAAATCAGAAAACAAAATCCGTTGAAAAGTAACCGTCATCAAAACTGAAATCGAGCCCTTCAGCGACACAATAGGACTGAAGGCAGACATATAATTCTTCTCATTCAACATCAGTGAAGCACCGTCAAAACCGGTGAATGGGGGCTGATGGTATTATTGTTGTCTTTGTTATTGGCAAGTGATTAATATTACGATCATAATATTATTACGAGTTGGAACAATCAACTTCATGAATAATATTATTATTTTCTGCAAATAGGTGCTTCAACTAATAGTTCGAACCATGGGCATTCGCAAACCAATGTAACTTATTAGAGTGTAATTATTATTTCATCTGAGTTATTGACCTGATGATGTCAACTGTGCCAAGGAGCGCCTCCTTTTGCAAGATCGATACACTGGCTCCGGCATCCAGTTCCCTCACAAAGTCAGCAGTCGAGGGGGTTAATCCACCTAATGCCCCCACAATTACTGGCACGATCTTGGCCCGCACCTGCCACATCTGCTCCACCTCACGCTTCAGGCCTTGATATTTCTGTATCTTTTCCACAGATTTTCGGCGGATGTTCCTATCCAGAGGGACACTTACGTCCACAAGGAACGCTTCATCTTTGCCCTTGATAATAATGTCGGGTCTGTTTGCTCCAACGGGCGCTGCTGTTGGAATTGGCACTTCCCAGTAGATTGACACATCCGTTTCAGCACTGTACACGACGTTGGTGAGTTGGTGACTTGTGTACTTATTCGAAATGTCCGATGCACCATACTTCCTGCACAATGTCCAGTGGAGATATTTTATTATTATTATTATTATTATTATTATTGAACGGCCTCTGCTGGGATGACGACTACACCATAGCTCAGTGGTTAGAGCATCGCTGGCTACAAGCGAGGGTCCCTGGTTCGAGTCCTGGTGGTGACAGTCAATTTTTTCTTCAGTCTTTTCCCGTTTGTCTCTTTCCCTCAAACCAGTTAATATTATTATTATTATTATTATTATTATTATTATTATTAATAGCAATGAAAAGTATGAATGCCGCAGACATCACCACGCAACATGACAATTTGTTCAAGGTTTGGTTTTGTGTGTTTCCAAAATCGATTTTCACGTTGCGATCATCAGTGGAAATACGCAACTAAAGAGATCAAGGGAAAAACAAAGGTTAAAAATCCAAAGAAGTGTGACACATGACGGGTAACTTGTGGTAAGTATTACAAAAAGTGAGAACTAAAATAAAGAGTAAGTGTGACAAACGGGCATGAACAGTGCAGAAACAACTCATGAACACGGGGTGCAAACTCACGAAAATAACCTAAGTGCTAAAACATGTTCTTTTTGCTTACACAAATCGGGCTTATGCGTACGAATACAAACAGCTTCAAGGACCTTCAACTGCTGGACATAACGGGCACGACACAGTACAGAGAAGTGGGAATCATCATACACACTCAAACAATCGGGACGAGATAACAAATGCAACGTATTTCCACTGATGATCGCAACGTGAAAATCGATTTTGGAAACACACAAAACCAAACCTTGAACAAATTGTCATGTTGCGTGGTGATGTCTGCGGCATTCATACTTTTCATTGCTATTATTAAACTTTTATCTCCACGTAGATTATTTGATTATTATTATTATTATTATTATTATAGTGCAAGCCTCTTTTACGGGCAAAAATTAACACAATGTATTAAAATGCAATACAACATACACTGGAGAAGAAATCAGGAAAATAAAATATGAGCTCAAAAATGGAACGAAAAATAGCAAATAGAATCAAAACTCACGATGGAATCAAACTCACGATGGAATCAAACTCATGATGGAAACTACAAAACCCAATGAGTTGGAAAACCAACCAAAGAATTAGATATTGGGAATAGAGTCAGACACAACAACGACCGAAATCAGTACACCAAAAATCTGTCCTACAAAAAAATATTATTATTATTATTGTGGAAGAGAAAAGGACATATGGATACGAGTTAAGAGTAACTCTCCATCACTGTAACATGATACTATATACAGTCAGAAAGTGCAATAACTAGGCACAAAACTGACAGAGTACTGAAACATTCGACGTCCTGACACCTAGCTTCAACACATCTCCGTAGCGCTAACCGACAGCCTTCCAACTTGGAAGGTTCAAGGTTATGGAAAAGACCAAAGAGGGGAAGGATAGCGCAACGAAAACGAGCAAAAGCTACAGTCCCAACGGAACAAAGAATGTCGATTGTTACTGGACGATGACGAGACCAGTACGATATTTGACACAGCGGTCTAACTACAATTCGAAGCAGCAAAGCAGCACACCACCCAACTTGGGTGGGTCATAAATATCAAAGATAAGTAAAGAAAGGGAAGCTTTGCGAAAACGAATTGTACAAGCCGAAAGCCAAACTCCTACAGTACTCCTCATGCATGACATTGTGATGGACTGGTTGACTACAAAACAAGTTGTTTCACACGACGTACGTTTCGCCGTATGGTTCGTGACGGCTCATCAGGTGTGCAATTTGAAACTCGGATGTTGAGCCATAAATAAATGTGGAAGAGAAAAGGACATATGGATACGAGTTAAGAGTAACTCTCCATCACTGTAACATGATACTATATACAGTCAGAAAGTCATCGTCCAGTAATCGACATTCTTTGTTCCGTTGGGACTGTAGCTTTTGCTCGTTTTCGTTGCGCTTGCCTTCCCCTCTTTGGTCTTTTCCATAACCTTGAACCTTCCAAGTTGGAAGGCTGTCGGTTAGCGCTACGGAGATGTGTTGAAGCTAGGTGTCAGGACGTCGAATGTTTCAGTACTCTGTCAGTTTTGTGCCTAGTTATTGCACTTTCTGACTGTATATAGCAGGGAGTAGTAAAATACAGGGAGGTGACACGCCACTAATCGTGATTTTTGATGGTTGCCTCGCGCTTGTTTTTTTTTCTTTCGCAAAAAAAGATGATCTGCTGAATCAATCTTGAGTATTTGTCGAAGAACTAATTCCGTGAAAAGGTCTATCCATCTCATGGAACAGCATTTGTTTTGCTCTTGTGATACATCTGTGTCATCGTCATATGTAAAGGTACCACCCTTCCGAAATTCGTCCCGATCGACGGCATGGAGCAATAGAACGAAGGTGATTTCCTTGAGAACAATACGTGTACGATTGGAGATGAAAAGCGAGTGCACCGATTTCGAAGTCGAAAAAATCTCTAGGACACCACACGATCGGCACTAATTTCTCCTCAGTTGTGATCAACCAGTACTTCTCTACCTTCTTTGTGATGATGAGCATTTCATATTATGGTATGCTAGAGATTCGGGAGTTCACTTTTCGGAATGAAATGTTCCTAAGTTTGTCAAGGATTGAAATGCGGGCTACGTCGTCGTAAACAGCTTGTATCGACACAGGAAAAATCTACGGCACGCAGGGATATCTCCCAAAGTGATACCACTCTTGCTGGACTTCTATCCTGACATAGTGGTAGTTTGGTCGACTACCAAACTTTGTGAAGGCAGACAATTGTTGGAAATTCTCAGCGCTGAGTTTCTACGGGCTGCAGTAGGAGTCTCTTTGGCGGTAGGTATTTTACTACTCCCTGATCGAGAGAATCCTGATCCGCGCGCGTGTCTACACACTTCGGTACCCATAGTACCCCAATCTCACCCGCCGGGTGAAAACGGTGCTGAGGCAATCGTCAAACTGGCCGTACATGCTCGTGTCACCTCCCTGTATTTTACTACTCCCTGGTATAATTATAGTATCATGTTACAGTGATGGAGAGTTACTCTTAACTCGTATCCATATGTCCTTTTCTCTTCCACATTTATTTATGGCTCAACATCCGAGTTTCAAATTGCACACCTGATGAGCCGTCACGAACCATACGGCGAAACGTACGTCGTGTGAAACAACTTGTTTTGTAGTCAACCAGTCCATCACAATGTCATGCATGAGGAGTACTGTAGGAGTTTGGCTTTCGGCTTGTACAATTCGTTTTCGCAAAGCTTCCCTTTCTTTACTTATCTTTGATATTTATGACCCACCCAAGTTGGGTGGTGTGCTGCTTTGCTGCTTCGAATTGTAGTTAGACCGCTGTGTCAAATATCGTACTGGTCTCGTCATCGTCCAGTAACAATCGACATTCTTTGTTCCGTTGGGACTGTAGCTTTTGCTCGTTTTCGTTGCGCTATCCTTCCCCTCTTTGGTCTTTTCCATAACCTTGAACCTTCCAAGTTGGAAGGCTGTCGGTTAGCGCTACGGAGATGTGTTGAAGCTAGGTGTCAGGACGTCGAATGTTTCAGTACTCTGTCAGTTTTGTGCCTAGTTATTGCACTTTCTGACTGTATATAGTATCATGTTACAGTGATGGAGAGTTACTCTTAACTCGTATCCATATGTCCTTTTCTCTTCCACATTTATTTATGGCTCAACATCCGAGTTTCAAATTATTATTATTATTATTATTATTATTATACGCATCGCTGGCTACAATCGAGGGTCCCTGGTTCGAGTCCTGGTGGTGACAGTCAATTTTTTCTTCAGACTTTTCCAGTTTGTCTCTTTCCCTCAAAACCAGTTAATATTTTATGACTTCGGGCTTCCCGCGTGCTAGTTTGTACGTGAAGTGTGTGGGTACAGTGAGGGCTGCGTCCCACCCGCCTGTGTGGATTCACAGGAAGTGTGAGTTGCGAAGTCTGAAGAAAACGTTTAACGGTCTCTGCTTGGATGACGACTACACCATAGCTCAGTGGTTAGAGAGCATCGCTGGCTACAAGCGAGGGTCCCTGGTTCGAGTCCTGGTGGGGACAGTCAATTTTTTCTTCAGACTTTTCCCGTTTGTCTCTTTCCCTCAAAACCAGTTAATATAATAATAATAATAATAATAATAATTTGAAAGTAGGACGGAGGCAGAAAATATTACAAAAAATGTATTATCTACGCATGCATCTACACAAGAGTCACCACCAGCCAATTAGGACATGTGTCAAAGTATTGAACGTTTTCGTTCCCTTCTTGTCAAAATACTACAGGGAATGATAAAAATAAGCTAAAAGACTACAACTATAAGGAAAAGAAGTTCAGAAATATATCACTCCAATTATGGGTAGAAGTGACACGAAAAAATAGATGTGAAGAATCAAGAAAACAGCATGCAAATCCAATAAGTGACAAAAACGTAGTGACAAGAAAAAGAGAGAAATATCAAGAGATCAAGGGATCTATTTTGCACCTTCACGACGAACAGTGTCAAACAACTGCAAAGACAACACATTCTCCTTCTGAACACAAAGCAGCACACTGATGTCGACCTCGGCAATCGGAATTCCAGGAACGCAGGGCGTAATCTGGTAATGGGAGAGATTCGCAAGCGGCAGGATCGGAGGTGACAACGGCCGAGTCGTCGGGTCACGGAAAAGGTACCTCGGCAAATCAAGTGTCACTTGTCGGGCAGTGCTAGTTGTCGTGAGTGGTATTCCGATGATGTATTCTCTGTTTTGTCGCGTGGCAGGTGTCATGCAGGGTTACACACGCAACGGGAAGACTTCATGGTACTAAAATAGATATTTCGCAAACAACAAAAAGACAACTCTTTCTCTTCCTTTCGAAGAACCGAACTTGCCGAGCCTCATCGAAAGCAAACTCTGAAAAAGCCCTACACTAGTACGGGATTCAGCGCAGAGCAAAAAATAATTATGAGTCATTATACAATGCATGCAGTGTAGCCGTGAAAACTGGTGAATAAAGAATGCAGTAGGTTGGCAGCACGTGACCCGTCGTACCGCAGTACGCGACGGCGTCGCAGCTTAGAAATGAAAGGAAACACTGCGAGAAAAGACAAAACGAAAATAGATGTCCCTTTGTCAAAACTTAGAAGAAACAAACAAAATGCGACCAAGAATCATTTTGAGAGTCAACGTCAATACTCTTGTGCCGTTGTGCAAATTCTTGTCTTGCATTGTGCAACGCAAGAAACAAACAACCTACGAAATAACTCGTGAACTAACTGTAGGCTAAATCACTACATGTATGCGAAATTGCGTTCCAAAATAAACTGAACTTCTGAGACATTTCGTATTTCACATCCTGAGAGAAATATTGAATAAATTGTAAATACATCATAAAAAAAACACATGGCCACGACGGCCTTCCCAACAGTAGGTCTTTGTTACATCTTGCCGTGTTGGAAGCTTTGTACATACGTAAGTTAGACCCTGAGCTTTGTGTTCAGAAGGAGAGAGATCACATACACTGCGCAGTGTCCTGCTTGGAGCCTTCCATCAGTTCCGCCAGATTACATGTCAGAAAGGTGTGCAATTCCGCTGGTGTTTTGATCCATGGCAGACTTTGTGTGTGTGTGGGAGGGGGAGAAGGGTACATGGTGTGTGCTTTGTGTGACTTGTTAATAGTATCTGTATTATGTAACTTGGGACTTCTACGTATAGGTAGACAGCCGAGATGACAAGAGACGTTCCTATTAAGAAAGTGAAAGAGACGCGGAAGTCTGGGAAGAGATACAGCGACGCTACCGTCGATAGGATAATTGCCAAGGATGTGGCAAAGCCCTTGAGTATGTTGTCAGCATACTTGACAACAACAGCAGCAAGGAGACCGCCAAACGCCTGCATGAAGATGGCGAACCAGACCCAGCCAGTGTAGCCATAGAAGAAGCCATTCTTGGCAACTGCAGTGCCGTCGTTCATCAGCATGCCGACAAGCCCGATGACAGTGCCAAACACTCCAAGCTGGATGTTACGCATCCACACAGAGACTTGAGGGGAGTCCTTTAGAATCTTCTCAAAGTACACGCCGGCCAAAGCGGATGAGAAAGCAGAGATGATGGCTGCTATCAGGCCCAGGTTCTCGGACGGCGCTGCAGAGCTGCCAGCTGATGAGAAAGCAGAGATGATGACTGCTATCAGGCCCAGGATAGGATTTGGCTTGGATGGCGCTGCAGAGCTGCCAGCTGTAGTGACAGTATGAGCTGAATGCACCTGTATCCGTATGGGATTCATAAGCTGCATAGCACAGCATACAGGTCAGCACACACCACAGTCAAAGGCAGTGAATCAGTCACAAAGGAAGAGAGAAAAAACAGAGAAGGTACGAGTACATTAAAACTTGCCTAATCTTGGCAGGTTGAGACTGGGCAGTGCTGGCAACTAGGGGTTGCCTGTAATTCAGAGCATACATACTTGCGGTGTTTTAGTTTCCTTTCAAAACCAGCCGATCGACCCAACCAACAATGTTTTGCCTGCGCAGGGGCTGAGATAGATAGATAGATAGATGTTGGGGGTGACAAAGGACGAAACAGTTCTGTCCGTAAATTGAGTAGATAGATAGATAGAGAGAAAGACAGAGAGAGAGAGAGAGAGAGAGAGAGAGAGAGAGAGAGAGAGAGAGAGAGAGAGAGAGAGAGAGAGAGAGAGAGAGAGAGAGAGAGAGAGATAGAGAGAGAGAGATAGAGAGAGAGAAAGAGAGAGAGAGAGAGAGAGAGAGAGAGAGATAGAGAGAGAGAGAGAGAAGAGAGAGAGAGAGAGAGAGAGAAAGAGAGAGAAAGAGAAAGAGAGAGAGAGAGAGAGAGAGAGAGAGACGTTGGGCAGACAATCATCAATAACCAACATACTTACCTGCACTTGCACCATGCACACTCCAACAAACAGAATGACAAGAGATGTCCACTGTATTCTTGTGAGTACCTTCCCAAGCAAAATAACTGACACGATGGCGGTGGTGAGGATTTTTAGTTGATACGTCACCTGCATACAATACACAGCATATCACAGACACACATACACAAACCAATCTTCGCAAAAGTATTTGAAGTACAGTGGTCGGCCGGGTGTCTCCATGATCGTTAATGGGTATAGCTTGCTCGCACGCGTGAGAACAATGCTCTGATAAATCACACATCCTCCCTGCAGTTTGAATGCTCCAGAGAAATGATTTTCCTTTCCCTGCTGCTGGCAGTACATGTAGATCGAGGCAGGGTGCTCTGGTGTAGTACATTCGTCAGTGCATGCTAAGTGAACTGCATGTAAAAGAAGGACAGACAGATAGGCAGATACATAGAGATAGTCCATCGGCCAAGTCTCAAAATCGAAAGTGGTGATGCACTGAGCTTCCAAGTAAACGCGACCATACCCAGCACGTAGAGAATATATCAGAGAACACTATTCCGTTTGTTGGATGTGCCGAATTCAGTCCAGGGCGTCGATACGAAGCGCTCTTCGTTGCCGAGTTTTTTACTGTGCGCTCCGTTTGAGAGTGCGCAGAGTTCTGATCGAGAGTTTTTTGAGCAGATTTTCAAATTTTTGAGGCTGTCAGCTGACAGCTGTCAACGCTAAATGGCACTTAGTATGTGACAGGCAATAGGTTTTGGTGCCTCCGTATGCCTCCTATCTTCCTTCCTTTCACTTCGCTGCTTGGCCCACCACCTCAGAAGATGACGGCGTACCTGCACTAGTCAGCTCTCGCTAACTCTGTCTCTCTTTCTCCGTCTTAGCGCTCGTCATTGGTGTCCCTCTGCTGGGGCGAGCTTGATACTGTTGTGTCGTAGTTTTTAGGCAATAGTGGCTGTTGTTCGCGTGACGATCAGGATTTATGGAGAAAGACGACGACTCGCCAAGTTCCTATGCAGCCACAGACGGCGTAGCAATTCTTACCGCCAACCCTTTGAGCAACGGAACCGGCCTGAGTTGGAAATCGTGTCTGTGTAATTGTGCCACGATACGGATGAAACACACAGGCTCAGATGTGACGAGATGAAGATAATCTCAACAGGATGACGGAAATCCAACAGGCTCACAGGAACGCTGCAGTTGTGGTCGGAGACGCGGAGCTATTTAGTCACTGGCAAATGTTGCATCGAGTGCTGTGTGCTCTAACACAATTGTAAAAATTGTGAAAAAGCGAAAATAATGCAATGGTGGGGCTGAGTGGTGTTCTGTGGAGGAGACGTCGCTGTGTCAGTATTCAAAGCCGGACCCTGTATTTCAAGTCTGTGGTCATCCTCGATCATAAGTTCCTGTATGGCTCCAGTGCCTTCTCAGCATTGTTGGCGGGTAAGCACCTGGATCGTGTCCAAGTACTGCAGCGCTGGTGGCGTGAGGGATGTACGGGTGCTCGCCGTGCGCCCCTGCCGGCAATCTGCTAGTGAAGCTTGGTACCTACTGTGTCCGGAAGATTTTCATCCAGAAGCTGATCTTCCTACTTGTAGGCTGGAGCTGCTGCTACTCCTGTGCTAGCCCTCAACCACTGGCACTTCTACTCGGCTCCAGTGTAGACCATTAACCACCCTGCCCGATTTCGCACTGCTGCTATTCCACACTGTCAGCATTTAACTCTGAGGTCAGACCTTGATCCCTCCCACCATATGCTATCTGTCTGTCTGCTTCCCTCTCACACACAGATGTGCATGCATGGTACACACAAACGCACATGCAGACACACGCACCAGCACAAATACACATAGCCAGCTTCTCTGTGTTTGGTGATCATCATCTGTTTTCTGATGTGCAAGCTCACCTCTGATGCCGATTACTTCCTTGCTTAGACCCGGTCTGCTATTATACCAGTCTGCTCTCCCTTCACTCGCTTCTAAATCCTACTTGGAGCAGTAACGCTGCGCCACTGTTCCTCCTGATGTCATTATTGTGAAAGCAATATCATCGCCATTGGTGGTAATTTTCCACTATGCATGAATCATTAACAATCATCATCTATGTGTCACGGCCCAGCCATCCTCGTAACTCCCCTCATTGTGACTAGTGCTGTACCGTTCAAACCTACTTTGCTTCACAACCTACTTTGCTTCAGTGTATATTCGCTCCAAAGCTCTTTTGTTGCATAGTGATCTGACGCAGTGTGCTATCGGGCAATATGGATAAGATTAGTACAGTCGGCATCGCCTATCGAGTGACCAGGTATAAGGATACTAGTAAATGTATACTGGCAAACGATATCGGAACACAAATAGCGCTATGTGTACAATATTCCTTTCTAAGCTCACGCTGTGCGGTGCGGAAAGGTCATGCGTCGTTGCCAAATAGCCGCATGTGCAGCAGGAAGGCACCACATGTCGACTTCTACTTATACTGTACAGCATTGTGTGCTTACATGCATCTACAGCCTTGTGGATGCAATTGAGTCTCACATACATGTACATGGAATATAGCTTGTAGTGCGGCATCAGGTGTTAACACACAATATTTTTCTCGCAATAATGACCGTATTCACCACAAGTGTGTTTATGTCCAGAGCCAACTCAAGTCCTGTATTATTTATGACCATTACAACAAGTACTCCGGGCTGAAATTCTTCTATGACAGGCATGAACACTTGCCTTACAATTTTTCGTGATTGTACGAAGTACATATTCGCTGTTGCATCAATTTTGCACCATTTACATTGTAGTGCCACTAGTGGTATCACCTGCATGCGTATTGAGTCAAACAATGTTACCTCTGTGTATTTATGCTTATCGTGGCTATCAAGAGCTTCGATGCAAATTCAAAGCTGACGAATGGTGTCCAGCTTGTGTTCAGATCAGCTGGCACTCACAACTCATAATAAATATTGCGCTCTAGACGCCAGATGAGATGTTTCAGCTACAATGTAGACAAAACGTCCGTGTTCAAGAAAGCCGTTACTTCATCTTCTGTCCATCCTCAATAGCACGTTCAAGCAAATACGTCTGAAACACAGTAGCGACAATCCGACAGCGGCGACACGCCGTCTTCTCCGAATGAGCTTCTACCGTTCTAATTCAGATTCCCCAAAAATTGTCCAAATAAATAATAGATTCCACCAAGCTCGCTAGAATCTTGCGAACCGTCAACATGCAGGCATTTCAAGTGTTCGAGCGTGCGTAGATTCTGCTCAGCGGCTCAAGAACATTCGCCACGCGAAAAAAAGTCGATGAGAAAGATGTAATGGTGGACGAAATTACGAAAATCGGAAGAAGGTATTCGACCCAGTTCGACTATCCTGGACTGGATTGGCCACGTCCAACAATCGGATTCGTATTCTATGGGGTCTCATGAGCTAGTGTGCCAAAGGGCGTTCAGTTGGAGCTTCAGTGCATCACCTTCTCCGAAAGAGGCCTTTTCTGGAATTTGGCAGATACATAGAGAGGGAGACAAAGAGACAGAGGGAGACCTACCTGGAATGTGGCTGCATCCAGATTGTAACCGGCCACATACCGTAGGTTGTTTTGCAGTGTGATTAGGATGGCTGGAATGGACAGCTTGAGCGTGTCCTGCCAGTTCTGGAATACCTGCTCGTTGAGAAGTGCAAAGAAACGAAACACACCTCGCTGCGAGATTAGAATGCAAACGCAAAACGCAACCTTCATAACTTCTGCAGATACGACGGCCGTCGTCGATATGTAAAAGTTTCCTTCTAGCGTAAGCGGGTAGCGCATAGAAAGAATATAAATGGCATTCTGGAAGGTGAGAATAATCAAGCTGACGTACTTCAGCTTCGGGCCAGCTGAAAGCAAACAGAAACACACACACACACACACACACCTCAGACCTCAGACCTGCCCATCGCGGAAGCGATGAAAGTGAACAGCTATGTTAGACATAGCAACTTGTGCTGAGATTACACCATTCAACAGCTTGCAAGGCTGATGAATTGACCGCCACTACTTTTAGCCTGGTATCCACAACACAGCTGATTGAAGTGACTTTTTCTGGCCAGTGAATCCCTATTTTTCATTTTTCCCACACACACACACACACACACATACACACACACACACACACACACACACACACACACGCACACGCACACACACACACATATCACACCAGGTCACGCCATCAATATGACACACAGCAAGCAAACACTCACAAGGGAATTGGGAAAAGGGAATCGAAAACTCAAACACATGACGACAGGCAGCAGTCACTGTAAGTCAATTATATTTCGCAGTCGTTTTATTTTCGTAAATTTCGTAAGGCTCTCGCCACTTACGAAATTAAAACGCTTACTAAAATTTGTCACACTCATTGTACAGCACTCTATACATGTAGTTGTAGCAGCCCCCGATCGATGGGATTCACGGAAGTTAGATGACTGCCAAGTGTTCTTTTTCTCAGCTTACGAATATTACTCGCTTACGACATATAATAATAAATTGATTTACAGTATTTTAGCTGACCGACTGGGGATGCGCGTGCATGTCTGAACACATTACCAGTCCATGTTGAGCATTCATAGGACAGGAGGCCCAACGAGCCACACAGCATCATACAGCTTAAGGTGTGCGCCTGTGGGCCACCTACCGCTAGAGGTAGTTATACTACCTTCCAACTGTCCAAGCAAACTGCCACTGCTTGACTGCATTTCAATGTCAAATGAACCCTTCCTCTTACTGCAATTTTTTTAAATTTCTGCTCGTACTGCAATCCGCTGGAGCGTATACTCCTCGCTCCCATCTACCTTGACGAACAATGACACAGACCTGGCTGCATCGCAGGTTACGGTGTGTGGGACATGATTCAACAAGCAACGCCTCAAAGTCTCCATGCTCAAGTGTGAATTTCCATCCTCCGGAATAGTTGACACAAAACCCGTACTCTGGACAAAACAATCTCAAGTTACACAGCATGCTGGCGGTGAAATGGTGAAGAAACGTACACGGGTTGAACGCTGGTGCTATTTGCGGCAAAGAGTACAAAAACTGGATAAAATGTAACACTTCTGTAAAAACAATTTACAGACAAGTACAGGCGCTAGGCGGCTGGTAACCATGGTAACACTCTGCACCTGCTGGCCAGTAGTGTACTAACGGCGTGTTCCTTGAAAAATTACTCAGCCTGCGTGACATGGGAACTTCCGAACACAGTCACTGGGAATGAACCACTTTTAAAAGCCAGTAATTAGGTCGAAGAGATCATCTCAGATAGCATACCAGTTACGAGTGCTTCAATGAGTACTGGCTCACACAGATTCAGCAGATGGTCCACTTTTTGAAAGCCACACGTCTGTACCTACCACTGCCTAACGCCATGGTGTCCACAACACTCAGGACTTGAGCTCTTCTCAATGTGGCAACGTGTAAAACACCACGCTCCACATTTTCGAAACAGTAAATAAGGGAAAAGTACCTCTATTTGCTCCAATCTATTGTATTTGTGTACTAGTAACTGAATGTTTGCTCACAGCAGTCTGCACTGGCGTGGGGTGTTGATTTTAGTGATTTATCACGAAAGTATAGCCAATATATCACTAGAAGTGGTACAAATACTGTACTCTATACATAATACTGGAGTCAAGATGCCCTGGCTCTGCTATGACTGTAATTACTGATCAATTAAGCCGCATCGTTTTGAGTAGAGGCAATAGCTACAAGTACAAGTGAAGCGCACAAAACTGGACGCTAGCACAAGGAATATAATACAATTCAAACACATTTTTCCCATCAGATCAACATTATAAATCTCGCTAGCGCACAAGATTTCAAAGCGTTCACGCAAAAACTCAAACGCACACGCACACACATAATATTTTGCGCCCCCTCAGTGTACTTACCGAACCAAGAGTTACTAGTACTAGTAGTAGCCATGTCTGGAGGCTTCTGGTCTTCGCCAGGTGTCCGCTCAGGTACGCCTGGCTTTAACGGACGCCATCCCAGAGATATTCCTCAAACGACTTCGACATAGCAATCGAGAGCGACGAGATTCTGTACTAGGCATAATTAATAGGCTACACGCGCTACATCTCAACGCGGTGTAAGAATCACAGCATTGCATGTGCAGGATCTAGACCAAGCCAAGCAGCAATTAATTATTTTAGTGACAACCTACCGGCCTACTGCCAGTACGGGGCTACTTTTTCGCTCTTGCGACCAGGAACCTGGCAGCGAATCGTAGATTCCGCTAGGACCCGCAGGGTCCGACGTGGAATCGGGGTTACACGAGGAGTGAAGGCGAAGAATGTGACAGTGTGTTTGGCCTCAAATCGCTCTAGTTTTCCATAAATTTCCAGCGGTTTAAAGATAAAAATGCAAATGCACGCCTTGATTGCACCTATCACCCCGGCCCCGGGCCCCTTGCTTTCTTCGGCCTTTTCTGAGCGACCAAAAATGATAGTGCAATCAAGAGTAGTGACAGTGAGGGGTGGGTGACACCAGCACAATGGGCAGGAACACACTGCCACATTCTTCGCCTTCACTCCTTGTGTAACCCCGATTCCACGTCGGACCCTGCGGGTCCTAGCGGAATCTACGATTACACTTCGGAGCTTCGGCTTCGAATGTGACAGTGTGACTTTTAAAGTGATCCACCACCTCAACCAAGGCAAGGGCATAGCCAAGAGTTATGCGCGAAGGAGAAGCGCGCATGTGGAGTGAAGGAACAGGCATCTCGCAGAGTGCCTGATATACAGTAAAAATGTCTCTATGTATCGAGGATGATTGGAAATTTTTTATTTTCATTGCTATCAGGTTCGGCCTCATTTTCTCTGTGCTGCGCTGATGAGTTCAAAAAGAACGAAACAGCATGCTGTCCGCAGATTGAGTATTTCGCTCCTGCTCTTGTAGCAGTTGAGCACTCTTGCGTGGGGTAGTGCCTTTGCTGTTTGCGTTATGCAGAGCTCACTGACTTGTCAGTTTGAGCACTCTGGCAAGGTACGTTCGGGCCTGATTGGAAATTTTTATTTTCATTGCTATCAGGTTCGGCCTCATTTTCTCTGTGCTGCGCTGATGAGTTCAAAAAGAACGAAACAGCATGCTGTCCGCAGATTGAGGATACACCATAATTATGTACAGGTGCCCTTCAAGTCGGAGACAAGAAGGGAGAAAAGGGTGACATCGGGCATCAAATGGGTGGTCGCTAAATCAGCCTGACCAATACTCCAAGAGGCCCTGGACACGTAGCTGGAGTGTCGACGAGAGAGGAGAAAGATGCATTGGTAATTGGTCTATACTGCCTCCCTACATTGCACTGGGTGGCTAAGGAGTTGGTCCGACTGCGATGAACTCCAGACCGGAGCCACCAAGAGCACTTGCTATATGTGTAGCGCTAACCATCAGGATGAGGCAGAATGGAGGGTGCAGAAGTGCATTCTCCCACTGGTCTGGTCTGCCGGAAGGACCAAGGAAGCCTGGCCCTCGGCCTCAGGATCTGAGCGCTAACTCACATACTGATCCAGTTAGCGGGTATGGCTGGCCACAAATAGGTCAAGTGGGCTGTACCAATGATGTAACTTGGTAAGGACCTGCCTGTCCAACAGGCAGTTGCCGCTGTCTGCAGAAAGTGACGGTGGTTTGGGTCGTGGACGATGTCCCGAACATTGACGGCGACTAGGTGGAGCCAGCGGGGTCGCACCAATAGTAATAGTTATGTACTCTTGGAAGCGCTAACAGACACATAGTTATCCAATGTTTCTTTCCTTGGATACGTAAGCAACAGCCATCACATGATCAATCTCGACATGCAAAGGTACTCCCGCTATACCATGCACTGGGACTTGCAGACCAAGGCACTCCGCCCTCAAGCAGTAGATGAATGGAGTTTAACTCCTGCAGTCATGTGGCTATGGGTGGCTGCTGTGCATGGGTCCTGAACTGACGGGCTCTCGTACGCAGCGATGGCACCTGTGAGGTGACTGGCTAGCCATCCCCGAGTGAAAAGTGACAGACCCAGTAATGGAGACTTGTCAATTGAATCACCAGACCATTATCGAGGTTGCACAGCCCAGGCTGTGGAGCTCTATCCTGCAAGCACTATATTCTGTAATGAATTGATCGACTGTGAAGCTGTGCTAGCGGGAACGCCTTCCTCAATTCCGGACGCTTCACGTTCAGGCGCCTCAAGTGGCTTGGTGATGGAAGAGATGTTGAGCCTCATACATTCCAGGGACTGCACCAGCTACACGCCAGACTTGTGCAGGTTCACTTGGAGCTCGAGATGCTCCAGGAGGCGGATCGTTGCTTGCACTATGGTGTGCCGCAACCAGACCGCACACAATAATGAGGCAGGTGGCAATGCACATCACTACCTTCACCGCCCATGTCCGGAAAATGCAGACGATCGATGCAGACACTTGGTGCATGTGCGGAGTGAATAACACATGCCGAACGGTAGACATGTGTACCGCCAGCCACTTCCGGATGGCCGGATGGATGCCGGTCGAGTGACACATGTCCTGCATGGCCAAATAGCACATTGGCTCCATGAGGCTGGCAACATCGTCAGTGGTCGTACCGGGTCTCCAGCTTGAAGGGACCTGTGGTGATATAATCGTCATATTCGGGTGCTCAGCGATGGTAGAGATGACGCAGGATGCGGAGCCAATGGCTGCTTGGATGGTCATTTGAACTGGACATAGTTTATATCCGTAGATCTCAGGTATATGTATGGCTTACTCAGCTATTGCACAACATGGTCATGGACCTTGGGAGTGCGCAGGACGTCTACGGCAAGACATGGGTGAATGGACCCATCAGTCCCCACCAATTATCGCCCTGTTTCCCTCCTTCCAGTTGTCTCAAAGCTGTTGGAGGGAGTGGTGCAGCGTCAGCTAGTTCGCCATCTAGACTTGAATAATGCCCTACCTGATTCTCAGTTTGCTTTCAGGAAAAAGTGCTCCACTGAGGATGCCCTCTGTCTAGAAAGAATACTTTTTGATATGATGCCCTCTGTGTTCTCACGGACAGCTTGCAGAAGGCGAAGGACAGTGGTCTGGTAACGGGGCTGTGCCTCCTCGACATGTCCAAGGCTTTTGACAAAGTCCGGCATGGTATTCTCATCCAAGACCTTTTTGACGTTGGTATCTCTGGTGTGACCCTGAAGTGGTTCGCGAATTACCTGACAGATCGCAGGCAGCAAGTTACAGTCGCTTCGGCCACAAGTCGTGCTCTTGACTGCACTTGTGGTGTGCCCCAAGGCTCCGTCTTGGGGTCTGTTCTCTTTAACGTCTACACCCGTGATGTGAAATCGGTCTCATCGCCAATACCCATCGTGCAATTCGCGGACGACATTGCCCTGTATGATTCAAAAGCTTCCGCTGGGGAAGTCTCCAAATCCGTCTCTTCAGCTGTCACTGATCTCGCCATATGGCTTAAGTCATGCGGCCTAATTTTAAATGCCTCCAAAAGCCAGGTAATGACTATCTCACCGCAACATTCCGGGCCTGAGGTCTCTATCGTGTGCTGCGATACCTCTCTACCGATAGTGAAGTCTGCGCGGTATCTTGGTGTCTTTCTTGACAACCGCCTGAGTTGGGATGTACACGTCAGCGCCATAGTGACCAAAGCTGCAAGGAAGATTGGCGCCTTGTGGCGAGCCCGTCGATGCCTCTCCCGCAGCTCGCGCAAGATATATGTAAAGGCTATTGTCATGCCGGATATGATATATGGTGCCTGCTGCTTCTCTGCAGCCCTCCGCGTGACTCAACTTCAGCGTCTGCAAGCCGTGCAAAACCGGGCGATCCGATGCATTGATGGCAGCCCGCCATGTTCCGCGGTGCAGCCCCTCCTGGCTGCCAACTCGATTTACCGCGTCACTGAACTTTTTAAACAAAAGCTCCTGATCTTCATCTGGCGTTGTCTAAATGACTCCACTAGCCTTGCTCTAGCCCAGCTTCTCAAACCAGCAGCATGCAGCGGCAGAAGTACGCGCCATCAGCATGCCAATGATCTGCTCAGCCAGCCAGCTCCCAGTCGGTGTGGCCAAACGAGATTCGCCACCGCAGGAGCATTGCTGTGGAACATTTTGCCTAGAGAGGTGCGCACCGTATCCAGATTGCAAGATTTTAAGCTAGCCTGCCTTCCTTATGTATGCCTGGAATAGGTTGTGTTTCGTCAGGTTTTGACATGTTCCTTTTCTTCTCAGTATTCTCGCTCGCATAGTACTCCACTTCTATGATAATATTGCCTATGCTGTTGCTCATTAGGATTTCGGCAAATTCTATCCTTCGCTTTCACATAGCTGGGCCAGGAACCCGTTTGAACTTGCGAGGTAAAATAAAATCAATCAATCAATCAACATAGTGAGCAAATTAAGTTACATTGTTAACACCTCGACGAGGAGTAACACCAAACAATTGTAGCGACAACACATTTTCTTTCTGTACGCAAAGTTCAGGATCTTTTTATAATAGCAATGAAAAATATCAATTGTGCACTCATAACCATGTATAAACAATTAAAAGGAAACAATTCCAGAACGTTTTCGTGTGACCATCATCAGTGGAACATCGTCACATACCAGTTACTTATATAGCTAGAGTAATATGAAAAGAAGCGTGAGAATGCAGTACAGCTAGCGGTTATGCATAACGCGTGTAGTGTGAACCTTTGCAGTGTATCTGAGAATGGTAGCAGTAGATGAATGTGGCAGCTGTGAGTGCGTGTGGACAAAACTGGTGAGTGCGTTTTATTTAAAAAGTATGAGTTCGACATCGACAAGAGCAAGTCTGCCATCTACAAGCATTTGGTGTCCAGTCCGGCTTGTCGTAAGTTGTTTCACGATTCCTGGTTTAGTGTTATTTGTTGCGCACGTTTCTTTAAGCAGTTGCAGCTGTTGGAAGCTGTATATATTCGCACACGTGACCCTGTTTTATGCAAGCAAAAAGAAAATGTTGTAGCACTCACACTTTTTTCATATTACTCTAGCTATATAAGTAACTGGTTGTTTTAGTGATTCTTACTATGTGACGATGTTCCACTGATGATGGTCACACGAAAACGTTCTGGAATTGTTTCATTTTAATTGTTTATACATGGTTATGAGTGCACAATTGATATTTTTC